TGTCCCCTCCATCCTGTCTTTCCAGTTTGAGCCTGGGCCACAGATCCACCCCGAGCTCTGCTTCCTCTCCTGGCTTGAGGAGGTTCTGCTCTCTCAGGCGCTGCCCTGCGCACAGTACCACGTCACCTGGTTCCTGTCCTGGAGCCCTTGCGCCCGCTGTGCGGGGCAGGTGGCCGCCTTCCTGCAGCAGCACCGCAACGTGGACCTGAGCGTGTTCGCCGCCCGCCTCTACTACCACTGGGAGCCCGAATACCAGGAGGGGCTCCGCGGCCTGTGCCAGCAGGGGGCCCAGGTGGACATCATGTCCTTCCAACGTGAGGGCCGGGGCTGGGGCAGGCTGCGGGGGGCGGTGGGACGGCCAGGGTGTCCCGGGCTGTGGGGAGGGCCTGATGGCCTCCGGCAGCGGGCAGCAGCCCCGGGGTGTCCATGAGGGGTCCCGAGGCCCTGCCCACAGCTCTCACCGCTCACCCCTCTTTGTCTCAGACTTTAGATACTGTTGGGACAACTTTGTCTACAACTGGGGAAAGAGCTTTAGGCCCTGGAATAATCTACAGGAAAACTATGATTCCCTGGTCACAGAGCTTGAGAGTTTCAGGTAAGGGCTTCCTCAGGCCTGCGCCATGCCCCAGCTTCCAGCCTTCCCACTCCTCCACCTTCACCTCCTGGGGTGCACTGCTCCTCCCAGTCCTGCTCTCCTCCCTCCTGGGCAGCCCCCTTCACCCCACGAGGTGTCTCGGGCCTCCCGGGCGAGTCACCTGCCTCCCGTCCTGACACTAGGAAGTCTGGTTATTTATGGGATGTAACAGGGTCTGAACACCCAGGAGCCTGGAAACCAGGGGTTTGAGCAACGTCCTTCAAGGCTGGTTTCGCTCAGGGAAGCGGCTCCCTCAGCCCCTCCCAGATGCCCCTGGGCCAGGAGGCGGGTGTGCCCTGGAGCCCGGGCCCTGGCGGGGGCCCTCTCCTCCGCTTTCGCAAGGACTTCCACCTCCGGGGGCCTTGCCTGGTCCCCCCGGCTCCCGCCGCAGATCCCCGACTCCTTGTGAGGATCTGTCTGTACTCGGGCCCCCAGGGGCTGGCTAGGGCACAGCGCTGGGGCTGGGGGCACGTTCTGCCCACCCCGAGGCCTGTCCTGAGCTGGGCAGGGGGTCAGTCCTGGCTGCTGCCAGCGGCCCTGCCTCGCCTGCTTCCTCTGCAGGCCTGGCTGTGCCGGCCCCACCCGCACCACCACCCTCAGCCCCTGGGTGTGTCAGCAGATATGGCAGCAGCAGGTTATCACCGGGTTCCACCACAGCCGGGGCTCCGGCCCTGAGGGCCCCCAGGGCACAGGGTCTTTCCATCGGTCCCTGTCTGTCCCTGACATATCTCCTGGAACCCACAGTGGAGGGACTGAGGAGGTGAGGGAAGAGGACCCTGCATCAGTATCCCATCCTTCTTGGGGTACAGTGTTGGGGGATTCCCAGGAACCCCAGGGCCCAGAGCCCTGGGCCTTGTGGAGACCCCCATCAGGGGAGCAAAGGCCCAGAGGGCCGGGGACAGGCCCCTGGGCAGCGGGATGCAGGGGGCACCCACTGTCCGTCCATCAGCAGGTCCCGCCTGACCACAGCAGGTCACCCCAGGGGGTGACCCGACAGTGGGGGCTGAGCAGCCTGGCCCAGGGCTGGTGGGCCTCACGGAGGGGCTCATCCCCTGGGGGGACACAGAGCCAGACAGGCATCTTTCTCCGGGTCCACAGATAAGGGGAAAATATGCCAGGAGGGGCTGTCGCTGTGGCTGAGGGGAGCTGGCGGGGGAGGATGGAATGAGTGTGGGTGCAAGGGGAGGGGTTTGGAGATACGGGGCAAGAAGTGGGGCTCCGGGAGGCGGGGACAGGGCTGGGTGCAGAGGAGGAGGTCTGGGGGTCCCAGCAGGAGGCCATCGCTGGGTCTCCCCGCCCCTGTCTGCAGACACAGGATGGACGCGCACACCTTCTACTGGACCTTCGGGAACACGCGCTGGCCGAAGGAGACGCACCTGTGCTACGAGCTGGAGCTCCGGGAGGGCGGCTCCTGGGCCCCCCTGGCCCGAAGCAAGGGCTTCCTGAGCAACAAGGTGCCCAGCGGCGGGCCGCACCCCCAGGGGGCAGGTTTGGGCTGCCCTGGGCTGCCCTCTCACTAGGTGAGGCTGAGGCTCCGCAGTCAGGGGCGCCCTTGTTATGGAGCCTGGCAGCTTGGCCTCCCCAGGCAGAGACCAGGGAGAGGGACGCGGACCTGCTCGAGTCACCCAGGCACCAGCTGTCGCTCCGCCCTGGGCCTCCAAGGAGGGCAGGAAGTGGGCGAGGGGCCAGGGCTGGCCGGGGCCCCTGCGCTGTGCGCTGGGTCCTTTGCCGGAAGCCTGAGTCTGGTACCTCGCCCGGCAGCTACCGCCCTGGACGCTGGGCCCGGAGCTGGTGCTCGCAGCGCGGGCGGCGGCCCGCGGACCTAACCGCCCTTCCCTCTGCTCAGAGCGCAGACGCAGGGGAGCTGGCCCACGCGGAGCGGCTTTTCTTGAAACGGATCAGTTCGTGGATGCTGGACCGGAGAGAACACTACAGGGTCACCTGCTTCATCTCCTGGAGCCCGTGTGCTGACTGCGCCGCCCGGCTGGCCGCTGTCCTCCGGGAGACGCGCCACGTGCGCCTGCGCATCCTCGCGGCCCGCATATACCGCCGCCCCGGCTACGAGCAGGGGCTGCGGGCGCTGCGGCGGGCTGGGGCCCGCGTGGCCGTCATGCAGGCCCAGGGTCAGCGTGGGACCCCGTGGCCGTGGGAGGGGCCTGCGGGACGCTGCCGGGAAAGGCTGGGCATGTCTGGGGGGACAGGGGGGGTGAGGCAGTGGGGGAGCAGCTGCCAGGAAGGAGACTTGGGCTGGCTCAGAGTCCAGAGGAGTCAGGAGGGGGAGGCCGGAGCTGAGGCCCCGGGAAGGTGGGAAAGGAGGCTGGACTGTGCTGGCCAGGCTGGGGGGCGGGCAGGGACCCCTGGCCTGAGCCCCCCTCGCCCTGCCCCACAGACTTTCAGCACTGCTGGAAGACCTTCGTGGACCACCAGGAAAGACCCTTTGAGCCCTGGGAAGGGCTGGAGGAGCAGAGTGAGGACCTGTCCAGGGAGCTGCTGCGCGTGCTCCAGGTGGGCCCCTGCCTGCTGCTCCTGCGCCCCTCCTCTCCTCCCCACCCAGCTGCCCTGGCCCGGCCAGTCTCCCCCTACGCCTCAGGGCAGCCCCCTCCCCCAGCATCTCCCTCCCGCCCTCCCACCACCTTCTCATCCCAAGGCAGAGCTGAAGGGTGCGTTGTCTCTCTGGGCAGGCGGCAGACGAGGCAGCTGACGACGGGATGAGGCGCGGTCAAGACGCGTGAGCTCACCCGCCGCCGCCACCCCCAGCTCGACCCGGGAAAGCCAAGTCAGTGAATTCACAAGAAAAACATACTCATCGCGCGCACTGCTTTTCGTTGAATGTATCTCATATTCCAACTCTCACCACAGTGGCTGTTTCCAATACTGTCTGAATAGGCCTTGAGTTTTAGCGATGTAAATACTTAAATTGATCTGAAATCCCGTGGAATAAAGAGAAATGTGAACAACCTTCCACTAGGCTGTTTCCCTGCAAGTGTACTAGGAAGTCGGCTGTAGTGGACGAACACCTGCGGAGTGTCGGACGCCTTCCCTCTCGGAGTGGACCTTCCCGGGGGCAGTGGCACACTGCCCACTCCTCCAGTCCTGGGAAATGACGCAAGGGCTCCCCAAGAAACCAGATGTCCTCCCACCAGCTCATCTCCGAGTGTGTCTCTCAAGCAGCAAGAAGCTGGGCCCAGGCTCCGGGAACAGAGCGGGAGAGAGAGAAGGGGGCAGACGGACCTTACAGCACATCACAACCAGCTCTGCAAGGCCTCTGCTGCCCAGCGCGTGACAGGAGCTGGGCAGGAAGCCAGAGGCCCAGTATCACCACCTAGAAACAGGCCCTCTGGACGCCCCCGACCCCAGCAGGTGCCCCTGCACTGGGGCAAGGGGGCATCAAATCGGGTGCGTGAGCTGGAGGGGAGGTCAGTTTTTAGTGACCCCCTCCCACACGCTACTCCTGGGGGCTTTCTCAGCCCCCAGTCCCCCCTCCCGCCCCAGCTGTGTTCATCCATTAGTCACGAGCACCGACGCTGAAGACTGGTCTCCTCACCCCTCTTGCTCATCCAGTGCGAACCTGCAGCGGGGTGGGGAGCGGCTTCAAAGGAGACGCCCTGTCTCTTGCTGCCCTGCCTCCACGGGGGCCCCAGTCTTTGCTGCCTTTTTGAGGGAGCCTCTCGAGGACCCGTTTGCAGCCACGCAAGTGTGGTTTTCTGCTGGCTCTGGCAGGGTCTACAGTTTCCTGCCTCCACGCTTCCAGGCCTTCTCCAGCTGGGCGCCGGCCACACAGCCTCCTTCACAGACCTCTCTGTCGCTGCTCACGCCCTGCCCTGGGCTCCTCCTGCCCACCTGCTCCTTCGCCATCCCCTCTGGGGTCTGGTCCCCTCTGTGTCCCCCAGCCCCCGGGAGACTCGGCCTGCCCCGGGGCAGAGCCTGCATCTGCAGTCCGGGTGTGCCTCCAGACCCGACATGGCTGGCACCGTGCCCTTGACCTCGCCGGCCCGCCGGACCTCCTCAGAGGATGCTCTGCTGCTCTGAGAATACCCTGTGTGGTGTGCATGCCTAGGTCTGCGAGAACATTTCAGGGGACGCAGCTGTATAGACAAAAACAGTGTGGTCACACCACTGTGTAGAAACAGAATCTTCAAGAAATGTAAAGGACTGCTGAGAATTTTTTTTTAAGGTTTATTTATTTATTCATACAGAACTGGGGTACAGGCCAGAGATGTGGAGGATGAGAGGATTTAGCAGAGACAGAGCGGGAAGCAGAACAGGCAGATTGACGAAGTACACTGCTGAGGGGAGCAGCGGGCGGGCCAGGAGAGGTCTGCCGCACCATGTGAACTCCTCTGGGGCTGGCGGGGATCTAACTCATGCGGAAGTGGCTTTAGCTTCTTAGTGCTGTGCTTTAACCCGCCGCGCTACCAGGGAGGGCTGAGAAATTTTTTGTGTGTGCTATTAGAGATCTATTAGATAGCTAGAGAAGGTCAGTTTGTATGATTTTAAAAGTTTGCTTTTTAAAAAATCCAGAACTGATAATGACTGTACAAACAAAAATAATAGGGTTCTGGGTGACCCTACCTGACCGGGCTACTTGACTTAGACGAAGCTGTGCCTGTGGCTAAGAGCTGTCTTCTGCTGTACCCATTCCTTAAACAATTAATTTGTGAACTGAGGCTTATGTTCAGGTCAGCAGCGTCTGTTACAGTCTCCAGAACAGGATACTCACTTTCCTTCAGTGTAACAGCTCCGGCTTTTGGGTAGCAATTCCAAAGGTTGGCAGCTTACACAACAAAATGTTTCCACTGCATTTGTTTCCTACTTTATGCTCACTCTTTGCCAGTTACAATCTATGCACAAAACTGAATGCCCTCTTCTGCCTTCCCCCTTTATTCAAAGACTTTCCTCAAACTTCATTTCTAATGTTGCTGGGGCGTGGAGGGGGGGGTGGAGTTTTGAAAAAGTTTCTCTTTTAAGATTTATTTTATTTATTTATGCTTACAAGAACTGGGGCACAGGCCAGAGGTGCGGGGTGATGGTGAGAGGATTCCCCAGAGGCAGAGTGGGGAGCAGAGCAGGCGGACGGACTGAAATACAGGGCTGAGGGGGGCAGTGGGGAGACAGGAGGGTCAGCTCCCCTCCAGGGATTGGGCTGCACCCCAGGGTCAGCTCCCCTCCTGGGATTGGGCTCAGGCCACAGTGGCTGCTGAGAGCTTGACAGCGCTGAGGCTTTAGCCCTTGAACTACCAGAGAGCATTAGCTTTTTCTTTAATAAAATAGTTTACTTTTACATCATTTTGTGCATTTTTCCATCTCAGCTGTAATCCCCATGGGCTTCCCACCACCAGTTCGCCCGTGTGCCATCACCCTAGTCCAGTGCACTTAGATGTTTTTAAGTTTAGTAACCTGTAGCCCAGGGGTCTCCCTACTTTACTTTCGATGGTGAACCTGCTTTCTCTCTGCCAGAGGCGCTGAGGGCTTCGCGCGCTGTGGTTCCCGCCGCCGCCGGAAGGGGGCGGTGGCGAGTCGGGGGCGCGGGCGGCGCGGGAGGGCAGGTCTGTACCCTCGCGGGTGCCCCGCGGCTGCCGCGCCCACCCGATCTCCCCCCGCCCCACCCCCCCCCCCCCCCCTCCCCCCCCCCGCCCCACCCCCCGCGGCACCCCCACCGCTAGACCTGGGCCTCCGCGGGGGCGCCGCAGCGCCGCGCCCTGGACGTCTGGAATATTCAATAAGTCTGCACTTAAATGACCTCGGGAGACTAACCCAGCATTAGCTTCGTCTTTGCAAACAAAAAAACAAAAACACAACGGCGTTGAGAAGAGTTTTGTCTGTTGAAAATCCATACCGAATAGTCGTCTGTGCGGGCAGTCCTGATTTTTGGTGTATGATTGGCAATCGGAAAAGGCAGGAAGGCGACTCGAATAATAAAAGCTTGAAAGTCTAAAGCGTGTCCCGAGGAAAAGGGGGGCCCTGGAAGTGGGGGGGGCGGCGCGGTGCTGGGTGCCTGCGGATTCGCGTTCAGGAAGCCCACCTGTGCTGCTTGGTGCGCACACAGCCCCCTAGTTGGGTCAGAAATGGCCGGTTAAGTGGCAGGGAGTAAATGGCCCTCGGGCTGAGTGAAGCCTTTTCTTGAGTAGATGAGCCGTCCACTGTGGGGGGGGGGGGGCAACACACGTCCTGTCCTGGCTGAGAGTCCAGCTCACCTGCGCCCTCTGCCCGGAATTCCGTGCCAGGCAACCCGCAGCCTCCCTCTGGAACAGGCAAGGACGCCTGCTTTTCTCCAGCTCGGCAGGCTGGCCTGGCAGTGAGGGGTCCCCTCAGTCCTGTCGGTTCCCCAGAGCAACTCAGATGCTCACGTCTAGCCTGACAGGTGTGGGAGCGCTGACTGCACCGTGGGCCCTCAGGAGGAGGGGGTGGCGGGGTGCTTGCAGATGTATGACCCTCCTCTCTCCTCTTCAGGAGGGGCTGAGCCCAACAGGAAGGCAAGGAAAAGGAAAGGGGTGTGTCGCCCAGAAAGAAGTCACACTTGTCCTCGCCTCCACATGGTTTTTCTCTCTGGTCTCCACTGGAGAGGACAGTGGGTCACACAGCTGGCGGGGCTGGCGGGAGTCTGTGTTGTGTCCCAACTCAGCCCAGGGCGAGTCTCTGGGCGGCCCCTGCCCACGGGGTCTTGGCCTTCCCCAGGGCCACCTCCCGGCCATGAGAAAGCACAAGCTTCAGCTATGGGACAATTAAATCCTGGGGGTGTCAGGCACCAGCACAGTGACTAAGGCCAACAACAGTGTGTTTTTATGGGCCTCCCCGGTGGCACAAGGGTTAAGTCTCGGCACTATGAAGCTATCCACGGCCACCTCACCACTGGCTTGATCCCCTCCAGGGAGCTGACCCACAGGGCGCAGCAGACCTCTCCCGGCTGCTCCCCTCAGCACTGTACTTCATCCATCTGCCTGTTCTGCTCCCCACTCTGTCTCTGGTGAATCCACTCACCCCCTGTACCTCTGGTCTGCACCCTAGTTTTTGTATGTATAAGTAAAATAAATCTTAAAAAAAAAAGTGTATGTTTGAAAGCTGCCAAGAGAGTAAATCTTAGTTCTCATGCGAAGGAAAAAAATGGTGACAGTAAGGTGGCCAGAGCTGAGGAAATGCATGATCATGTCACGCTATGTACATGAAGTTGTTATGTTGACCCAGGGACTCGGGTCAGTTTTCACTGGATAAAATGAAAGAACAGCAGAGGTTTCCATAGAAAGCTGAGAACTGAGTGAAAGCAGCTTCTGGCAAAGTATTAATGTATTCATAGTCCTGACATACTTTTTCAAAGACTTGCCTAGTCTTAGCCATCTGCTGCCATCTCCCACTCATCTCTCTGTGTCTCTGTCTTTCTCTGTTCCCCTCTCACCTCTAAAAGCCACTGTGAAGCTTCAGAACATCAGGAATGAAAAGGAAATCTCAAAAGCTACCAGTTACACAATGCTATTGTTTAGAAAGGAACAAGGATGCAACTTACTTGCAAACTTGTTCAGGTTGCTATTTAGGGACTTCTGTGGTTACTATTACATTGTTACATTATATCTTCAGTACATAGAAATGAATGGATGGCTCACAAGATGCAAAGAAATGAAAACAGTAGCAGAAATCTACTAGAAACAGCCAACACTAGAAACAGTGAAGGAAAGGCCATGAAATCATGAAGGATGACACCACATGTTCTAGGACAAATGAATTTCAGGTAATGATTTCACACATGCAGCTACAAAATAAAACCATGGTTGTAATTTCAGTGATAAACACTTAAAATATTCTTTTATGGGACTAGCAGCCCATGGGCCCCTGGTCCTTAACATGCTACTATGAAGGTCAAAACTCTGAATAGAACCTCCTGTGGCGCAAGGGGTCAAGTTTCAGCTCTGTGACGCTATCTGCAGCCCCTGAAGCCCGAGTTCGACCCCACCCCCACCCCAGACCAGTGA